AAAGAATGTCAAATCCCTGTTCTTGAACAAGCAGCCTAGTCGAAGAAGAGCTTAAGTCTGTAAATAATTCCCGTATAATACACGAAAGTTATGACATTTCTGCCTTAAGGCCTTGGACAAGACGTTTGACCTTTGAACATTCCAGGTCGGAATCTTCGAGTGGTTTTATTTCAAAGATCACAGTCCCCGACGACTTGACCCAATCAGCCAGCAGAATATATAAATAAATCACTGCTAGTAAATCGTCTAAGGGTGCGATTGAAGGACTTGGTATGAAGTGATTTTAGAGCATTTCATTTGTCTCATTACTCGTGGGGTTATCTGGCCAGGGGTATAGCGCAACAAAATAATGATGCGCAAACTCAATGGATGATGAACGAATACTTTCTACTAACTCAGTCACGAGGAGGAACACCCAACTAGAGTGGTGCAAAACCCAACATTTTGCATATGGAGACTTGACAACTAAGCAGAAAATCAAGAAATTAATTGGAAATTCACAAAATAACTAACATGCCGAAGATGAAACTTGAGTAATCGGTTGTCTGGTTTTAGTCCTACTAACTCAATTGACTCAGAAACGTACACAAAAAATATGTTCAACCACATGCCAGAATGCACAAAAGTGAAGGATCAAATTCCAGATATAGTAACCGTTTTTCCATATCTGCATCGAATTCACCTCTCCTTAAACAAATAGGGATAAGCAAGTAGCCAACCAGATCATGGAATGCCTTGCTAATATATCAAAATTCTATTTAAAAAAGTAGGTAGGATTGCAACCGGCCACCAATTTTTGCTATTGGATGGATTATACAAAAAAAATGGTTTCAAAATCTGAAGGTGTCGGTCTTATGACAAAGAAACTTTCATCTTGGATTCACCAGGGTCGTCTGATATTAATCTGAGGATTCAGGTCACAAATCAAAGTAAAACTTCATTTGGTTTCCTGTAAAGTCAATTATCAAAGCTTTGCTACCAAACTTATATACACAATAAAAGGCCCAATTAAACTCAAAGCAGTAATCCTAATAATTCCGAATGCTCATATAGTCTAAAAATTAACTAATAAATAACTATTCATGAACGTTTATACAATGGTTTTACCCTTGCATTTGCAATAGCCTGAGCATAAGGAAAAATGAGGGATATATAGGATGCAAGAGATAGCAGACTTGTAAATCAAGAGAAAATCTTCTATTAAATTACCTATGCGTCCGAGAAATCATTGTGCTAACATTTTACCTTAGACTGTTCGACACAGCTACTAGGATACTATAATTTACTTTCATCAGCCCAAAGAAGAAGCTTGTCACCCTCAATCACATCCTGAACCTAAAATGCGTATCGGTGTTTAAAAAGAATGAACTTAGCAAGAGAGGTAGCATGTTTGTGGTAAGAATCTTGGGGATGAAATGTTACCTAAATATACAGTTACTAATCAAGAAAATATTTAAGACACTTCGGTGGTGGAAATTTTTGGACAACAATTTTGAAGACCTCGTTTCCAACATAACATTGGACACTAAATGAAACAAATTAAAATTCAATCGTTAATAAAAGAAAAAATTGAATATTTCATCAAAACAATTGATATTCGTTGGAATGTATTGAAAATTAGCCCCAATATAACAAATCACTCGTTACATCAAGCAAAATATGCCTAAGCTATTGTGAAATAAAAAGAATAATAAAAAGTAAGTGTATCCTTTTCATGTTTTACACATTAATGAACTCACAAGAGTAAAAGTTTTGAAAAGCATGTCAGAGGAAAGCACATGTAATATTCCCTGGAATAACAAGTTCTCATAAATGTGAGCACTTGTTGATTGAATAATGGACAATGAAATGCCTTGGCATATAAATTTATGCACATTACTCAAATTTAGCAGTAGTAAGTTGTGTTCAAGATAAAGATTTGACTGTCTGAATTCGCCCCAGCCAGGTCACATGAAACTAATAAACAGCCAAATAGATGAGAGCTTAATAAAGAGGTGTCTGACTAGTCCCGAGTAGCGAACAGATTTGGATAGAAGCGAAGCCCTTGCTCGCTGTCATCGCGGCAGGCTAAAGCTGCTTGCTCAGCCGCAAGAAGACGTTCTTTAGCTAAAAGAGGAGCAATGTTTGAGAGGCGGGCCAACTCCCAGGCAGAAAGACTCTCCTTTTCCTTTAGTAGATCGCTAGTAGCATGAAGAGTAGAGACCTCATCCTCTGAAGCAAGCTGGAATACCTGTAAACGTTATGGGATGAAGTAGAAATAGATTAATACAAAATTAGGATTAAATAAAATGTAAAGACCTTCTACGGGCTTTCAACAATAAATTTATTTGATAAACGGATAATGATGATACATGTGAAGTGAATGAACCATTATCATAAATACATTATAAGGAAAGCTCTATCGTCTTAGCATTAAATAGAAGAAAGGGATATCTCTCATTATAAATTTCATTGGGCTAAAAAGATGCAATTCATCGGCTGATCCTAGCCCATTTAAAGAACTCTTTTCTACGATGGCCTTACTTTGTATATACGAAGAGTAACTGGGTAAGGATGAAACTCCTGGTATAACATTGTTGGGGAGACCTTAATTCCGTATGGAAGTGTATGAAGAAGAAGAAGACGGCTGATTCTCGTTGTATTACAGTTGTTGGGCTTTATACAACGCTCAGGTTGACGCAGTCCACGAGACATCCTACCTCGTTTCGAGTGAAAACAGGCTTAGCTTTCGTTAGCATGTGATGTACGACATCAGAGCTGGAACTCATCATAATAAAGGTGTCAAGTTGACATTTGCCCAAGAAAACTATCCGGCTCTATCTTACCTCTTATGTATATTTATAACTAAAAGGTAAAATAAATAGACTTATATAGATAAAGAATGGTTTGGCTAATTACCTTTCATATTAGTGATGCTACTTTTACTCGAATGTGTGTCTATATTAACGTTTATATACAAAACCAGTCTCTAAGAGATTGCATAATCGAAGGAAGTATGTGGGTTTCCTCAAACACTATTTTTATCCCCTAATTTCTCACTAGTTCGCATATTTTCTTAGAAAAAAGGCATAGCAAAAAAAATTAGAACAATAAAAGGTCCCCGCTTTTTTATCGTTGACTAAATAGTCTCCCACTGAAAATTTACTCCTCAGTAAAGACATATTATTAACAATTAAACGCAAAGGATAATTATTCTCCAGCAAGAAAACTTTTAACTGTTCCAACTCCTTAGTCAAATGGTTACTATGCGCTAGTATAATACTCCTAACAATCATTGACTTCAAAATTCCCACCTTATTTTTTGTATCTGTGATTGGAAAAATAATTCAGAGCCAAGATATGTTGGTCTCCTGTTGACATCTTTTCCTCACCCATAGTTGTTCGCCAAGATGCGAGCTATGGAAAATTCTAGCGCAAGTCCATGTGCCTGCCCATGAAATTTACTGTCAAAGGTAAAATAAGTGCTACTCATGGATAGTTTAAGAAATCTAAGGATGAAGGCTATATTCTATTTAATTTCCTGAGTGATCCCTGGATGCTTCTCCAGAGTTTGCACAAAAAAATGAAAGGCTCCTTGAACAGGAAGATATGTGTATATAAACATATCAAAACTCACTAACCCATCTTCATCTTAAATTATCGGTTTATCAACCAATTTTGAAAATTTATAAGAATCGAGGAAGGATGCCTCGTGGATTTCGTCAACCTGAACGTCATCTCAAAGCCAAATGGCTGCAGTAAAGTAAGAATCGGCAGTTGTCTTTTTGTGAGATCGACTTATGAATCCATTCATCGTACACTTTCATACACAACGAAAGTCTCCTCAAAAATTTCATTTTTAAAAAATTACCGAAGCCCTGTTTATTTTCGTACTTTTTCGTTAAGATATAATGTTTATATCCTGAAATCGCCCTCCCAAATGTTATTGGTAATAAAACAGCAAAGAAAAGTATGAGAATTCATCCACAAAATGATCTTAACAAAGCAACTAGGCACACAGCTCCTATCTCAACATTTACAGCAGTAGTTACACGTATCTTAATTGCCTTATTATCTATACGGCCCTATTGATTCCTGCTATGTATACAGGAGAGTAAACAAAATGCCCGTCACTCAAAGTAAAAGCATGACGTCTTAAGTCAGGATATTAAATATAACATCAAGGAATCAGGAGTTTCTAGAAGTTAAGCTTAATAAAGATTTTCCAAAAGGTATGATTTATGTCTAACATTAATATAACTTATTATGAGCAAATAATATGTTAAATCATTGTTATTTGGGATACACCATTAGTAGGAATGCAAACCGAATTGTGAACTTTACTTGAAGCAGATGACCCAAAACACAAGCACAAAAAATAATCTTAAAATATATTAAATGGATAAATATTTTGACGACATAAATCATAATTGGCCATTAGTGTCACAAGTGCCTGATTGCCAGAATAGTGGAAACTTTTGGTTTAGAGAATAACCGATAGCCAATACTCATACTATAACGTAGGACCACCTTGAATCAAGAACTTTTAAAAGATGAGCCTCGATTAAATAGTTTCGAAGATATGAAGGCCAAGATGGTGTGGCTTTTTGTGTGGTCGCAGTCTTCTTTCGTTGTATAGAGGTTGTTTGACCTTGTTTTCGCAACTTGGTCATATTGGTAGGAAGACTTAGAGTAACGCACCTAGTCCGGAGTCCATTGTCTGCATTATCATTTCCAAAGTAGGACCGTGAACGTGGTACATTCCCAGACGTTTCGTTGGCATCGTCAGTGAGTCTTGCCACTCTTAGCACCAGATTACAACTCGTCAAAGAGACAAGTAAAGCCGATACTTTGACCAAATGTGCGCTAAATAGTTGTGGTATCTCTCCTGTCCTGAACTATTCACCTTTTCTATATCCTTCTATCACGCCTTCACTATCACCCTTTTTCCTTGCTTATTTATGGCTAATGTGGTGTGCCCCGTTGAGCGGCTTTCATGAGAACTCTCCACACTCAAAGCTGGCTTTCTCGTGGGAG